GTTCGCCTCAGGTGTCCTTGGTCGCTTCTGTCGTGCGGAGGGCATCACCCAGACGTTTACCCTGCCGGACTCCCCGCAGCAGAATGGGGTCGCTGAGCGACGCATCGGTTTGGTCATGGAGGTGGCTCGCACCTCCATGATCCACGCCGGTGCACCCCATTTTCTGTGGCCGTTCGCCGTGCGCTACGCCGCTCACCAGCTTAACCTGTGGCCGCACCCCCAGCGGCCGCAGGTTTCGCCGACCCTTCTGTGGACCGGGTCCCCTGGTGACGCGTCTGCGTTCCACGTCTGGGGCTGCCTTGCTCACGTTCGTGCCTCTGGCACGGACAAGCTCACTGCCCGCACCCTCCCCTGCGTCTTCCTCGGTTTCCCCCTTGACGCGTCCGACTGGCACTTCTACCACCCGCCGTCTCACCGTTTCTTTCACTCTCGCGACGTCACCTTTGACGAGTCCGTCTCCTTCTTCCGCCGCTTTCCCCACCGTGGTCCCCCGGTTACTCCCCCCTGTTCCTGGTTCCTCCCTCCCTGGTGGCCCCTGCCCCTCCCCCCCCCCGCCCCCCCGTCCAGCCCCCTCTGGTGTGTCTCACGTCACCCCCCTCCCGTCGGTCGTTCCGGTCGACGAGTCTTCTGACTCTGGTAGTCCTTTGGCGCAGTCCTCGCCGTCTGTCCCTCCCCCGGTGTCTCCTCCTCCACCGCCTCCGCAGCCGCCGTCGCCGCAGCTGCCGCAGCCGTCGTCTCCGCCGCCGCCGCCGTCGAGGCCGTCGCTGCAGCCGCCGCCGCCGCCGCCGCCGTCGTCGCTGCCGCTGTTTGTGGACTCTGGGGGTGCTGGAGTTGAGGTGGGTACTCGTCCCGGGGCTCCTGTCGTGGCTTGTCCCCGCGGGCCTGGGGGTGGTACCGGTGCTGGCGGTGTTTCGGGCTCTGGGGGTGTCCCTTCTGGGGGTGCCGGTGTGGAGGGTTCGGGAGGTAGCCGTCGCGCAGCTTGTGGCCCTGGCGTTGGTGTTGTGTCGCCGCAGCAGCAGTCCCCGCCGGTGTCCGCCCTCCGTCTGCTCGGCCTTCCGTCCCCTGACCCTGCGCCTGTTCCTCTCCGGCCGTCTCCCCCTCTTCCCGTCTACGGCCCCGTGTTCCCTCCGCCGGACTCGTCCCCGGCTCGTTTTCCCCCTCGTTCCCCACCCGTGTCCCCTCCTCTGTCTCCCGACCCGACGCCGCCCTCTCACGTCTGGTCTCGCCGCCCCTCCCGTGCTCGTCCTGTCTCCCCCGTCCCGCGCACTCACCCTATGTTGCTCCGCTCCCACGCGTCTCGTTCTCCCCTCCTCCCGTCTCCTCCTCCGTCCTCTCTTGTCGTTGCGTCTCCTCCTCTGTCTGACTACTTTCGTGCCGCTCGTCCTCTTGTTCCTCGGGTCCTTGCCTCTCTCGTTACCGACCCGTCTGTTCCAGTGTCGAGTCTTGACGCCCTTGTCGCTGCGGTCGCTGACTTCGCCTCTACCCGCCGCCTTGACTACGCCTCCGCTCTGGTCTCTGACCCTGCCTGTCCTCCGTCTGTCGGGGGTGCTCCTGCCCTCGGCAGTGACGTCCTGGAGGACCGCCAGTTTGAGCTTGCTTTCCTGTCCGAGGCTGCTCCCCATCTCTGTTCCATGCTGCTAGTCCCTGAGGGTGACCCAGACGCTTTTGACATCCCGACCCCTCGTACTTACGCTGAGGCGGTTTCGGGACCTTGGGCCTCTCAGTGGATAGCTGCCATGGAGCAGGAGATGGCATCTTGGAGATCCACCGGCACCTTCGTCGACGCAGTTCCCCCACCTGGGGTGAACGTGGTCGATGGCCGTTGGCTCTTCAAGGTGAAGCGCCCTCCTGGAGAGCCGCCTGTGTTCAAGGCGCGTTACGTGGCTAGAGGCTTCAGTCAGCGCGAGGGGGTGGACTTCTTTCAGACTTTCGCTCCTACCCCGAAGATGACTACTCTTCGGGTTCTGCTACACGTAGCGGCTCAGCGTGACTACGAGCTTCACTCCCTCGACTTCTCCACTGCCTTTCTTCAGGGCAGCCTTCACGAGCAGGTCTACCTGCGTCGTCCTCAGGGCTTTACTGGCACCTTCCCCCCTGGGACCCAGTGGCTTCTGCGGCGCCCAGTCTACGGCCTGCGCCAGGCGCCTCGTGAGTGGCACGACACGCTGCGTGCTACTCTTGCTGACCTGCAGTTCTTTCCGTCCTCTGCAGACCCCTCGCTCTTCGTTCGTGCTGGCTCGACTCCGTTCTACATCCTCGTCTACGTAGACGACCTGGTCTTTGCCACAGCTGACAGGGACGCACTGGCCTCCGTGAAGGCAGAGCTGCTGAAGAGACACACCTGCACTGACCTTGGAGAGCTGCGCCGTTACCTTGGCTTGCAGATCTCCAGGGACAGAGCTGCGCGCACCATCACCCTGACTCAGTCACACTTGGTGCGCCAGGTCCTTCAGAGGTTCAGCCTTCAGTTCTCCTCTGCACAGCCCACCCCTCTGCCTGTAGACCACAGGCTCTCCGCTCCAGTTCCTGAGGAGTCGGTAGATCCCAGTGGTCCTTACGCTGAGCTAGTGGGTTGCCTCATGTACCTGATGACTTGCACTCGCCCAGATCTCGCATACCCTCTCAGCATCCTGGCTCGTTTTGTGGCCACAGGCAGACACCGACCTCAGCACTGGTCTGCCGCTAAGAGGGTTTTGCGTTATCTTGCAAGTACATCGGGCATGGGGTTAGTGCTAGGCGGACGCAGGCCAGTGGTCCTTACTGGACACACAGACGCTTCTTGGGCAGACGACGCCGAGACGCTCAGGTCTTCCCAGGGCTACTGCTTTAGCCTTGGCTCAGGTGCTGTCTCGTGGAGAGCTACCCGCTCCTCGTCGGTTGCCCAGTCCAGCTGTGAGGCTGAGATCTACGCCGGTGCCATGGCGGCACAGGAGCTCCGCTGGCTGACCTTCTTGCTCACTGACTTAGGTGAGCGGCCTAGCTCTGCCCCGGTCCTGTACGCTGACAACAGGGCCATGATTCTCCTGTGTCAGGAGCCTCGACTGGAGGGCAGAGCGAAGCACATCCAGCTGCGGTACTTCCTCCTGCGCGAGCTACAGCAGCGGCGCCAGGCTCGCGTAGTACACTTGGCCTCCGGTGCCAACACAGCTGATATCTTTACGAAGGCGCTTGCGCCTAAAGATCATCAGCGGCACTGTTTACAGCTTGGTCTGGTTCCTGTAGTCTCTCACTTACTCGGGCCTTGACTTTGTACTGTCGTATATATATATATGTATACACTCAGACTGGACTTGTGTCCTCTCACAGTGGTTGGACTAGTAGTGCCGCCCTGTACTCGTTCTTGCCTTGTCTGTACTCCTTCTGACTGGTCTTTTAGACCCTTGTCTCAGAGGCTGGACTAGTAGTGCCACCCTGAGCTACTTGTCTAGAACATTCCCCTATGCAGTCCAGGGGGTGTGTCAAACATGTGTAGTTATCATGTTTGTATAGACTGTATAGGGTCACCTTCTAGAGAGTACAACATTTAGGTATATGTTTGTGTACTCTCTCTCTCTCACATTATTAAAATTCTAGGTTTGATAGCTTATGAGATCGATATTGGCGATTGTTTTGATTCAATCATAATCGAAACCCTAAAAAAAACGGAGAATATATGTTTTTTGCCACGATCCTCCAAAACGGACGCAATGTAGCGCGTCCTAATACACCCTTTGGATTTGTGTGTACTTGGAATAAAGCCGCGGTACACATTCACTTCAATTTGTTTCAAGTGATAAACATTTGAAAAAGTGGTAACTGAGTGATGCCTGCTGGAGGTGGCGAGATCTCGTTACCTGCAGATTAACATTTGAGGGGGGATTGTGGCATTTGTGTACTGATAATCCCGATCGCCACCTCTCGACTCATCCCCCTTCCCCTCACGTTTTTTATTGCCCCTTCCCCCAACAATCGCGATTCCCCCTGGCCCCCCACCTGCCCCCTCAAATTCGATTCCCCTGGCCCCCAATTTCGAAGCCCCTCTGCCCCCCAAAAATTTGATTCGCCCTACCACCCCTCACTTGTCCAACTTCCCCCGTCAATTCCGTTTCCCCCTTCCCCTCTCTACTCCAATTTCCCCCCAGTCAAGGTCAATCCCCCCCACCCCTCGCGATTTCCCCGTCAAGAACGATTCCCTCCACCCCTCACAATTCTAACTTCCCCCAATCAATTTTGATTCCCCCCACCCCGCGAAATCCATTCCCCCCAACGCAATTCGTTTTCCCCAGTATCTCAAGTCGAAACTTCCCCTCGACGAAACTCAGCCCACTTCGCGTCAATACTTTTCGCCTCTCGCCCTCCAATCACTTCCGTCCCCCTTTCTTTACCTCCACATTTCCATCCCGAGACGCGTTGAATGTGTATCGCGGCTTTAAGTTTTCGTGCCCTTTGGATGTGTGGTGTGGTACACCCACCCGCGTATCTCAAATCTCCTGAGGGCGCGTCACATTTTTATGATCATGCGATTTTTCGAACCCATGTTCGACAAAATGTTCCGCAGAACTCCGCGATTGGCGAACATGCTAACCAATACCGAGATGAACACGGGGAAAACTGGTATTTTGAGCGTGTTACGTCTTGTGGGGTGGTAGTTTCTGAGTTGTCGCGACAGTTTGACGAGCATCGTGAAACTGATTACTTTTGCAAACATCTGCTGCTCGCCTCGATTTTACTAATATACGACGCGCCCTAGTCGCACTCACACATTTCCCGAGGGCAATCCATATCGAAAGTCAGGAGTGCTGATGTACGTATCAAGGGGCAATGCATGGCATGGCAGTCTTGTTTTGTAGCTGATGCTAGCTGTTGTGAGCATCCAAAAAAGCACCGATTTCCTCGAGAAGCCCGCAGGGCGACCTTGGGATTTGCAATGCTTCGCTGCTTCTCCGTCACGGCTGCGCACGTGAATTGTCCATGGCTCGTTCACCCTGTCGAGTATGGCCCCACGATATAGCAGGTCTCGTTAGGATCTCGATTCTTGAGGCAGTGCTGCACCGGTTGAGCCGAAACGACGTACGTCTTGAAAAGCCGGGAGATATTAAAGCCAGGCATGGTGTACAGCGTGGCACCAGCCTGTCTGTAACAGGCCTAGCTGTAGATCCTATCCGCGGTCGACGTGGCTGAGCGGTTGAGCGCCTCAGTTCGCCGTGGTCACCGGCCGGAATCTGCGTTGACCTTCTGTCTGTTCAGACCTAGGCCTACTGGCCCATTGGGCTAAAAGGCTACTCTCACAGAAGGCCTGATTCCCGAGGTCGCCGTATCGCGTTCCTGGGGTCCGGAAATACTTTTAACTGGCGCGGGATTCGCTCCGTATCGTCGAATGGCGTTACAGATCGAAAATCGTCGCGCGAGTCGAGCGACCGAAATCGCCGACGGCCGGGCGGCAGTGCAGCCGCGACAGATTTTTCTGCAGCGGTTGCGAAATCCGGTTTCCATTCGGATGTCACGTATTGTGGATCGCTCTGCGGTTTGCTCTCAACCATGCCTCCTTTCACTGGCCACCCGACCCGACCCACCCGATGGCCCCCACTGCCGCCGCGGCACTTCCACTTTCTTGCCGCTCCGAAGTGCACTTGCCTTGTTTCTGTATAAAAGGGAAAATTACTTTCGAAGCAGCCCAGCAGCTTGCGAACAACGCCCTTGTAGCCTTCGCCGCCCTTTTCGCTGACTTACAGAGTTGCCTGCGCTCCTGCACTGGTAACGTTGCTCCTAAGCCAAGAGTCCCATCCGACCTTCAGTCTTCCTGTGTCTACATTTCTTCCTGTGGAATTTCTTCAGTCACCCAGCGGCGTCGTTTGAGCTCGCTCAGTGAACGGACGGAGGGCTGGTAGCAGTAGCAGTCGCATGAGTAGCGGACCCCGCGACAGCCAGAGGCATCACTTGCTCGGAGCAAGCGCATCAGACTGGGAGCTGATCCTCAAGGCCGGGCGAATGGCTGAGCATAACAGCATGTCAAGACGCCAGGACGTCGGTTCTCCAACCGTTTTGTCGAATCATGTGGCTGGGTCGAACAGAGGCCGGAAACTAGATTCATTGTCCAATGAGCCATTCACCAGTAAGCCAAGGCATTACGTGAGTGAGCTGAACAGGAGCCGGGAGCTCGATTCAGACGAGGAGGAGCCAATCAGAGACATGGAGGACGTGCTCTGGCTCACGCAGCGACGGCGGGTGCTGGGGACGCGCCATGGCACACCTTGCTCCTTCCCTCGCGACCGGATCCACCGTCGCTCAACTGGCAGCGTCGTTGAAACTACCAAGTCCCTGACCGTCCAGCTGACCTCTTTTGAAGATCCCTGGAGCCCCAGCCTCAGCCGCAGCTGTCCTGCTGCTGGAGCTCACACCAGCCGTCCCTGGCAGCCAGGGATGCCTGCCATGGGAGAGCGCGGGCTACTGTCTGCAGGTGATGCTGCTGAAATGGCTCCTGCTGGCGTTCTTTTTCCTGGCATGGCCTCTTCTGGTGAGACGCTGAGGGGTCAAAGGGCTGCTGCTGATCGGGAGTGGAACAACCACCGCCGCCAAAATCAGCAGGTGTTCCGGCGACACTCTGTAGACTCTGGTTCCGGAGCTATTAACGCCAGCAGCAACAGCCATGGCAGCACAAGAGATCTTTCTCATGTCACTACAACTGGTCGAAGCATGAGCAACCTCAGCTGCAGCTTTCCAGGCAGCTACAGGCGTCAGGCATCCAGGAATACCACTACCATCAGCACTCCTTCTCTTGTGACACAGCGGCATGCTGTAAGGGTTGATGGGCCGAGAGAGGTATTGGTGAACAATAGAGGCATGTTTGGCCCCTCGCCTGTCAGCACACGTCAACACGTGATGGTGGTGCAGAGTCAACCCAGGATGGCACAGGGCGCACACTCTGGTGCTGCTGTTGCTAACGTGGGCAGCAAGCATACGGGCGGCATAGCCACCAGATAAAACCTGCATACGTGCTAACCAAGACTGCGGATTTCTGGAATCCTGGGGTGTGAAGATTTCTGCCCAGGGTGTGTCTCAAGCTCTCAGCACAGGTCAGCAAGAAGTGGTCCATGGTTTCACTATAGCGTCTATTCTGAGATGTAGCTTGCGGGTACTAAAGTGTCTATTCTGTGCACAGTACATCTGGCACGCGAGTAGGTTTTACTTCTGGCTAGAGCACATACCCCTTTTTTGTACAGACTTTCCTGTATCATCAAGAGATTTTCTCTCCTCCACACCAGGGGGCCAGGGGCGACTGCTTGCCACCAAGGTTTTTGAAGTCTGCAGAAAGAGAACTGGAGAAAGGAGACACAAGCAAGCAGTGCACAAACAGTACTTTCTTTTGAGTGGACTCACAAGGTGCATGCACTGACAGGGCAGTATGCAGCAGCCCCATCCTTCGCAAGAAACCCAGATTGGACTTCCTGGCTTGGTTCAGAAAGTGCCAATTAACGCCAGCGATGGTAGGTGCGGGCGATGCCACTGTTAGAGGAGGAAAACCCAGCAACCATCTCTATAGCAGAGGCGGTCTCATCTCATCGTCTCGCTGCTCCAAGCGCATAAAGCCGGAGCACAGCCCTGGCAAGGAGCACTCAGTCGGGAGCAGCATCAGAAGGCGCGAACTAGCGTCCTGCGCGGGTAGGAACGGTCGTTGTCACTGTACGAGGAGGAGACCCCAGCAGCCATCTCTATAGCAGAGGCAGTCTCGTCGTCCAGCTGCTCCGAGCGCACGAAGCGGCAGAGCGCACAGTCGGAGCGGGTGAGGTCGGAGCACCTGTAGTCGTCCACAGAGCCATCGATGAAGCCCTCGGCGTTGTCACCGGGCACCACTTGGGCCTTGAAGAGCTTGCTCCACACTAGCTTCTGCTTCTCGCTGCGTTGGTACATGGGGACAGGACGGGGAGAGGGGGGTGAGATGGGTGCACCGGTAGCCCTCCACGGTGCCGTCAATGAGGCCCTCGGCGTTGTCACCGGGGGCCACCAGGGCCTTGAAGAGCCTGCTCCACACTAGCCTCTGTTTCCCCCTGCAATGAGGGGAGGGTTGCCAGAAAACCAGGGAGAAAGAGGGTGAAAGAATGGAGAGAATGCGCGCAGGGAGTGGTGAAGAGGGGGTGGAGGGGAGTATGTGGGCGACGTGGCGGGTGTTTGGCTGTGTGGGGGAGCGGAATGAAGAGGAAGGGGGGGAGGCGGAGGGTGAATGCGTGGGGGGAGGGAGGAAGAGGGCGAGTGAGTGGAGAGGAGGGTTGGGGGACAGGAGGTGGCGTTAGGGAGGCGGGGGGATGGGGGAATAGGAAGGAACGTCAAGCGAGGAACCATGGAAACAGGGAGGCGATTTTCTAGGCGAATCAAGAGCCATCAGACAGGGGAGGCTTGTCTGGTGGAATGAAGTGGCGAGCAAGAGAGAGAGAGTCGACGGACTCACAGTCTGCCGATGAAGTCAGGCCAGTACGCCTGTCCGCCTGTCCGCCTGTCCGTCTGTCCGTCTGTCCCGTTGCGCCGTGCACGGTGGGCGACAGGATCGCACAAGGACGAGCGACAATCGAGAAGGTAAGGGAGCGAGCGTCTCACAATCTGCCGATGAAGTCAGGGCGGACGGCCTGTCCGAGCACGCCATGCACGGTGGGCGACAGTATGGCGCCCAAGGGAGGGGAGGGACCGAGGCAGGTGTGGAGCGGAAACAGTAGGAGCAGAGGGGATTAACGCGACTCACAGGCGGCCAACGAAGTCAGGGCGGAAGGTCTGTCCCAGCACGCCGTGCACGTTGGGCGACAGCTTCGCGCTCTGCACGTCTACGGTGAAGTGCACCACCCCGTCGTCGTCCGTGCGAAGCGCTGCGATCTCCGGTTGCAGCGCCAGCCTGAGCGACAACACGTCGCCTATGCGAACCTCGTACTCGTCGACCAGCTCCCCCTTCAACGGTTTTTTCGCCGCTGCCCATCTCAGCTCAAACTGCCCGTCGAAAAACGAAGCGACGTCCAGGTGCGAGCCGGGCAGGCCAAGTTTCACATCTTCGGAATCAACCAGTAGCCGTTGGAGGTAACCGTTTCTGTAACCAGACGCCCAGCCTTCGCGAGCCTCGAAAACGATCGAGTGGTGGCCCCACAGAATCGCGATCTCCCGCATCCACGTCAGCGCCTTGTTGCGCCCCTCCCATTCGCCCCACCGCCCCCCGAAATGCGCGTTTACTGCCACGTGTGCGTCTGAGATCAGCGCGTAGTTCTCCCCGGGGCGCCCGCTGAAATCAAATCGCGACCCGTCAGCGCCGACGAAGTGCGGGTCGCCGGTTCCGTTCGCCGGGCAGATCTTGCCGACGAAGTTAACGGCCGGCAGGTTGCTGTCTTCATCGGACGGGTGCACGAAACGCCGGCCCCTGCACGCGCCGGGGCCGAAACAGCTGCAAAGTCCTGTCGGGAGGAAGGCGAAGAACGATAAGCGCCAAACACGAGGATCACAATTCGTGTCCGACTGCCACGATCCTCGTGACAGCTGCACTGTCACTATTAGTAATAGACGACGGCTAATATAATCGGTGGTCTCCAAAAATCTGGTGTTTACAGAACAGGGAGAAACGGGCGATTAGGGGAAGCTTAGGAAACGGTGCTTACCTTCTGTGCGAGCATCAGTGAGGGGCTCGTACTGCCAGTGCACTCTGGGGATCGTCGCGATGGCTTCCGAGTCGACTCAAATCGGTTCGAGAAGGCTCTGGAATCGCCGCTTACCTCCTGTGCTGGCGTCGGTGAAGAGCTCGTACTGCCAGAAGGCTCCTAGTAGTACTAGTACCACAGCAGGGAAACTTCTTACCACAGTAGGGAAACTTCTCGCCCGTCTGCGAGAAATACAATAGCAAACAAGTTCAAGCGTACCTCCTGTGCTGGCGTCGGTGAAGGGCTCGTACTGCCAGTACACTATGGGAATCGTCGCCCTCGCCCTTCTCCGCTGATTGCGGTCCTTGCACTGCCGCCAGCACTCCATTATGTTGCCATCATCGCTGCCGGCGCCGCCACTGCTTCTATCCGCGCCGCCGCCGCCGCCGCCGCTGCCCGATTCGGAGGCGTCTCGTCCGGCGAGAACGACGGAGTACCTCGGATCAACCGACGTGTCGAACCGTCCGTTGGAGTGTGATCCAGCCTGGCACAGAAAGAGAGGGCACCGGCGGCACTTGCTGCTGCGGCCGCGCCTCTGACGGCCGACAGTCGTCGTCGCTCCATCAGAAACTCCGTTTACGTCAGACCCCGTTCCGTCAGAAGCTCCGTTACTGTCAGCCGGGAGGGGATCATTTGGGGCCGTCTGCTGGGGTTCCATCGCCGAACTATTGTCAAGGCTGCCAGGGTTGGTTGTGGCAGCGCCGTCGGATGGATTAGGTTCGGACAGATTAGCGTTGGACAAATTAACATCGGTCGGATTAGCAGTGGGATCTCCAGCGTTGGGGTTGATGGAGAGGTTGGGGTTCGCAACGAAGCCATGGTCCTGGCCAGGATCGATAACGATACCATTCTGGGTGAAATCGCCGTTACTCGCGATGCTGTTGGCTTGAGCTTGGGCCCTGACAACGCAAAGAGCAAGGGAGAGAAGCAAGCAAAGTCGAAAACTAGTACTGGTGGTCTCCATTTTGTGCTGGGAGCAACGCTGGGGCGAAAGTCTGGGAGATGGCGTGCGAGAGAGATTGCGTCCCTCCTCTGGCTGTCAGTCTGTCAGGCGTTCACCAGGATGAGAAAATGGCGGGCTGAGGCTCGGATTTAGAGCTTCGATTCTGGAGAGGATAACAGCCACCGAGCCGCGAATTTCCCATTGAATGGCGGTTTATCCGAGCCACGGATTGGCCGAAGTATCGCCGAGCCGCAACCGAAAACAGACAAACCAGGTGACATAGACGAATGGCTGAAGTTGAGCTGTTACATACGGATACGAGCGACGTTGTCGTTCACATTGTCGCGACCAATTAGGGCTCATCATTCAGTTTTGGATATGCTGGCGACTAAAAAACCGCAGACCCAGAGTTTCGCAGTCAAGGATTTTCTCTCGGCACAACGCAGGTGAAGCCAGCCAGACCTGACATTCATGAGAGGGAATGACGATATGCCGACACTAAAAAGCCAGCCTTCTATATAACAGAGCACATAAAAGATAGCACCAATCACATGCATGCACGATGTGCTAAAACTTGTAAAGCCTCTAGTATAGCCCTAGTATCTTTGCTGAAATGAAGTCCTTAAAAACATAGTGCTTGATAGCACAGCGGAAATTGTACACCCGTCCTCCGCCAATTCATGTGGCGACATTTTCTCAAGTTTTGTCGCTTCTTGTGCCCATTCACCAACAACCGCCCAAAATTCGTGCTTGCCAACTCCCACACGTTAAGGGAAAGTGCAACCAAGGCGCCATGCCACACCTCTCCGCACGAAATTGACGAACACGGTCCCCTCAAGAGTGACGAAGCCCCAAACACAAGGATAGGCCAAGATTGAAACAAGCACCAAATGAAACATTTTTATTGGTTGGTTAGATTCACTCCAAAACGTAAACTGTTAAAATTATATTTTATATAATTGTAGGCTTGGTAGTTATGCTACAAACTGCATCCTACTGTAGAGGGGACAACCCCCTTCTTGTACCCCATTCTCTTCTAGTCGACCCTCTTCTCTCTTGATATCTTCCCTAACTAAACCTCGGTCGCCATTCCATCGCGGCATTCTCTTTTCTTAGCTCACTTCAACACATGGTATCAGTGTTAAAATTATCTATGTTATAATTTATATAGGCTTGGTAGCAGGCCTGACATTTCAAAAAAACCCCCCCTGAGCTGTCGACTAAAAAAAAAAATTTACCCTGAGGGCTCAGTGTTCAAAATTTCCCTACCCTGATTTGTAAGTGTTCAGAAATCAAGAACCCTAAAAATCCCAGGGTTCACCGAACGCATTCAGGGTTGCCTTCAACACGACGGGGGAATAAAAAATGGGGGGAAAAAGGGGAGGGGAAGAGCGAAACGGAGGGTGTCACAGGATCGAATGTCCCGAGGAAAGGTTTGCTCAATGTTGCACTATCAATCAGTACAAGGTGCTTTTATACTTCCATAGTACATCAGGTAACCAGGTTTATCCTATCCAAAGGGAATAGACCCTTCTAGAAATAGAATCACCCTGCGTATAGCCACGCGAGGCTATTGGCTTTAAGGGATTACGGCAGGATTACGCTAGATATAGCGCGCCAGTACATCCCGAGCCTGGTCGGTGATATAATTATAATAACAGGATAAACCAAAGGATAATGGAAAAGGAGGAATAGGAAACCAAATGAGATGAGATAAAGACCAAAGGAATTAGGATAATAAGGGGAATGAAATAGAAAGGAAATATGGAAAGGGGAAATTGGTGTAACGGGGTCGTACTCTCACACTTCCCCCCCTCAAAGCTGGGTGGTAGAAGTAACACCCTGCTTGACAAGGTAGTCGCGAAGAGGACGACGGGCGTTACCCATGTCGGATTCAGAGACGCAGCCTCAGAAGTATCATAACCCTTCCAGCAAAGAAGAAGCTCCAGAGTGCCAGTCTGACGATGACGGTGTCCAAATACGTAGTTGTCCCATGGCGTGGATGAACACGGGCGACGACAGTGGTTGGCATTCGGTATAGAGCGTGTTTGGTCTTGATAGGGTTTAAGAAGCTGGTATGGAAGGTGTTATGGATTTTCCAAGAGGCTGGTAGGCGGAAGCGGAAGGTGAATAAAGTGACCTTTGCTTCAACGAGGATAGGCCCGCAGAAGCGAGGTCGTAGTTTGGATGGGAGATGGCCGATATCAAGATTGCGCGTGTCGAGCAGTACTCGGTCTCCCACGGTGATGGTGTGGTCTGTGCGGTGGCGATCGGGTTGCGTCTGTAACAGACGAAGTACAGCGTCTGTCCAATAGCGGCGTCAGGAGCATACTTGTAGGCAAACTCCAAGACGGGCAGATGCAAGTCGGAGTTGGAGATGTGAATGGTCGGAACAGTGTGCTGTAACGTGCAGATGAGTGGCTATGTTGTCCGATCCGTGCATGCTGTTACCCGCATCTGGTCCACGTGTGAAGATCACCAAGTGTTGGTGGTATGGCAGTTGTGTCGTAGTACTGCTTCCGTAGCAGTGTTGTATCCGTTACATGCAGCTTCTGTCGAATGATGGTCCATGCCGTAGTGTTGTCGCGAGTCGTACCCACTGGGCATCGGAGTGCTGCGGATTGGAGAGCAGAATCACTAGTAGTAACTCTGTCCACCACGCGGTCTGCTAGTCACACTGCCTTGAGTACAACAGCGTATGCGAAGTGCTGCTCATCGTATCCCTTGTGTTCAGAACCATGCGAGGGGTTGGAACCATAAACGCGGAGCTGGAAAACTTCCAGAATCGGCGCCAAAGTAGTTTCCCTCGGTGGTTGCTCAAGCAAGGAATCTCAGCTGTGTAGATATCCCACGGTGATGGGTTAGGACATTTGGGAATGTTGGGGCTATTCCCAAATAATCCTCTCCTGTTTCCAAATGAGCATTGCTGACACCGAATCCAGTATGACCTTATGCACTTCCAGTTTAGCACGGAGGCCATCGGTAGGCATCGGTGTCTCGGCGCATATATCAGGATAGCTCTTCTGGTGCCATCATGTGTTGTCTCATTCTCTTACTGTCCTTGAAGTAGCGTTGATGTCGAAGATGTCTCAGCTACTCAGCATCGATGTTGAAGTCTGCTCCATTTCGGCAAATAGGGGTGTTGTTGGAGATACGCGGAATCCACTATCCGGAGTGGCGTCGGCGCTCCATTTCACGCCTATCTGCTTCCGTGGAGTTGGTGCTGCTGATGGATTGGTTGTGACGCAGGTTTTATGACTTTAAGGAAAGCCATAGGCCATGAGGACTTGTATACCGGTAGAGTACCGCGGTCCTCCCATCCTCATACGAGCAAATATCTTCAGCTCTTGAGGGTGTATGGCATTGCCATGTTGTTTCCTCGCATAGTGGTATCTCCTTCCCACTAGCTGGAAATCATAGGACTGTGCCTGGCCGGGACTTTACAATCATACTGGAATATAATCCAGTGTTATCTCCATTGAGTGGAGAATCATCCATCAGGATTTGGTTGTGACTGTTGTGTCGAGTCTTCTGCTGCGGCGGCTGCGGCGGTTGCGACGACGGCGACCACGGCAGCTGCTGCAGAGAATTCTCTCAACTCGTACCAGTTGAAGGAGAATCCATCAACTCCCTCTTCCCAGTAGAGTGTTCCTGATGGGTGTAACAGGCGTAACTACCAGGAACACGTGCACATTAGTACACATGCGTTGCTCCATTGCTGCCGGTGATTGTTTCATTAGAGGGTGTGAAGAGAAATTTGCTTCTCCCCTCAATGTATCCACGGGTAGCAATTCCTGGTATGCTCATCCGTGCCTCCGATGTACGGTCGGTAGAGCGCGTGATCATGTTGTAGTAGTCCGCATCTCCCTCATTTGTTGACACCTCATGTTGCTTGACGTTCTCCTGCATCGTCGAAGTTACGCTGATGCTTGTAACGCTTCGGCTTCTGGTAGAATCGCCTCCAATGCATATGCCGTAGGGTCGCTATTGAGCGAGTACTTGCCGGATTAGAGGTTAATTACTCCTCAATCTGTCAAGCATCGTGACGTGCACGGAAACATTTCCACGCAGGTCATTAACACCTGGAATCGTGACGCATGATTGGTGTGTCGCCTCGTGAGGTTGATGTTGAGACTGCTCCAATCAATCACGTCGGATGGCTGAGATTCTTGATGAAGACGAATCGTTCAGCTCCCGTTATAAAGTAGTGTCTCGCTGGCCTTGACGAGACGGGTTCACTGCGTCGTCGTTGCGTGCGAAATCTGCTCCTTCGCAGCAACTTGAACTTGGGAGCATTGCAAGAGAAAACGGCTACTTCTCTGCAATCCCATAGGTTGTCGATCAATTTGTATGAAGAAGTGCCTCGTGGATTGAGAACATGTCTTCACGCAGCTCCATTGTTTTTCCTGGGTGAAGATCCCGTCGTGTTGATGTCGATCCATTTTTAACGAAGATGACTTCGTCAAAATAACTCGATCGTTATCGACACCAGTCAGAAGATGCGTCGATTGTGCAGTCGCTCGACACGAATGTTGTCTCCATGATGATGTTTCCCATAGTGTAGTCTCTGCTGTATTCGTGCCGTTGATTCCGCACCGATCCGACGATCCACGTTCCCCTGTCATTTTTCTGCATGCAGATATTACCAAGTAGGTAATACTCTGGCAGATTTCTGACTCTGCAGATGATTTGCGCACCATATTCGTCACCAAATATGTGAGAGTACGACTCCGTTACACCACTTGGCTTTTTCCATATTTCATCTTCATTTCATTCCTCTTTTTATCTCATCTCCTTTTGCCTCATATTCCCCATTTTCCATTATCCTTTGGTTTCTTCCCTTATTATAATTATACCACCGACCAAGCATGGAATGTTCTAGATACGCTATCTAGCGTAATCCTGTCGTAATCTCTTAAAACCAATAGCCTCGCGTGGCTATACGCAGGGTGATTCTATTTTCTAGAAGGGTCTATTCCTTTAGATAGGATAAAACTGGTTACTTGATGTACTCTGGAAGTATAAAAGCGCCTTGTACTGATCGATAGTGCAACTTTTCCTCGACACATTCGATCCTGTGACACTTGGTAATCAGAGCTTTTCTCACTCGGCC